TTTATCTCATCTCTCTGTTCTTTGCTTTATTCCACACTGCATATGCAGCCCTAGACCTCCCTTTCTCTCTCTCTTCCACTGAATATTTGAGTTCATGGTGATTTTTGCAGGTACATTAACTGTATTTTTCACATTTTGAAACTCAGCTGTCTCCAGATCTCCATAAATCTGTTCTTATTTGACACTGAAGTTGATTGTTACTTTCAATTTAATTTGGCTGCAAACATTAATGTAGCATTTCATAATAATAAGTATGATGGAGATATTGAAGATAAAAAAGAAGTGGGCAGATAACAACATTTATGGCACAAGGATTTTATGGGGAGGAATTTCCTTGTCTTGGGTTACCCTGTTCCCAGTTCAAGGCAGCCCTGACAGCATGCAGAACTTGAATGCAGATCTCACATCTGATGACAAATGACTCCTTAATGATGTGTTAAAGGAAGTGTGTGTAACCCTAATTTAATTAGCATATTATCTCCTTTTTTAACATGAAATTTCATTCTAGTACTAAAGAAAATCAGACTTTCTGTTCACAATGCTTTTTTCTCACCTGAAGACATTTGGCAAAAGAATAAACTAAGCTTTGAAAAATTTCAGAGGCAAAACTTTTAATCAAAGACAAATGAATAACATTAATGCATTTTGGCTCATACTCCAGGATTACAATTGCTTAGATGAGCATCTTTTTTTTAGTCTCCCAAGTTATGTCCCAGCAGGCACTTGGTCAGGGCACTCTCTGAAAGAAGAGCAAATTGTTCAAATGGAAAATGTAAGATTATGACAATAAATGTTCAAGATGAAGATAAATATGAAACTACTTTGATTCTGAGTGTTACAGAACTTTCACACAGCCATAGTGTGTCAGGAAAAAGTTTACCCAGTCTCTTGTTCCATTTCTGACAGCACATGATAGCAGATGTGTTAGAAAAGTCTGTGAGAACAGGAGAAACCAGAAACACTGTACTGGTATCAAACAACCCTAAAGTTATTTTCCTGCTGAAAATCTATCCAACTGCTTTTTGAACAGAAATAAATGGTTAGTACAAATCCCGTTATGAGGCACATCTTACCAACAAGGCATGTGCAGTGCAACCCCCTCTGGCTCTTCTGACCCATCTCCCTTTTGGTTGCGTTTGACACGTGCCAGCCCTTCCACTGGAGACACAGCAAACCTTTCCTGTTCTCTCACCTCCTGCTTGCCCAAGAGTTTCTAGACTTCCTCAAAAGTACAGAAATAGTTTCCCCAAATGTGTATGCTGGTGCAGCAGATAATATTTTTTTCCCCCAAATCTAATTCCATAAATGTCAGGTTCCCACATTACATGCTGTAGATTCACAGGGTCATACCCTGAAGCATCAACAGGGACAGTTTAGCCTGGGTCTTTGGCACAAACCTGTTTCCCAAACAACTTGTTTGAAGAGAAAAAAAATCAACTCTTGCTTTTAGTCTTTGGGTGGATGCAAAATCTTCAAACTTTTGCACAAGGCTCTCTTTGTCTCCAGTGTCTGCTTTTACCTTTTGCCAGGGTAAATAGCTTCCCTAGAGTTTGGCACATAGCCTGCTAATGGTTGTGGCACTAATATTGCTGCCCAGGAGAGCTCCATCATGAAACAGGAAGAAAAACACAAGAAAAAATTAGCAGAGGATCCTAGTGTCAGACAACTTGCCAATATTTTCCTTAACTGTAACTTAGCAGAGCTGAGTGAGCACCATGTAATGTTAGGCAGCTCTCTCGTATCCAGCAACATGGAATATTTTAGGTTTTCTGGATTGGCACACTCCTGCTATCCTGCAAATATGAAACAAAGCAACACTTCTGCAGATCTATGACATTAACTTACTTTTCCCCGAAGGAATCACAGTGCTTTAAAAAGTAATACACCCGTTTGCACATCTTTCTCTGGAATAGACAACCTATGACCTAATTTCAAAACCTTCCAAACTGTATTATTAAGGATGACAGTTCTACCTCAACTCAGAGACCTGAGGCTGTGGCTGACACTGGTTATAAAATAAAAAAAAGATGTAGTGGGAAGGTTAATCTCTATAATTAAAGGAGTTGTTACACCACTCAGCCATCAGCAGCAGGGCGTACACCTTTCAGCCTGGCAGCTCTTGGATGGCGTAAGGCAGACACGTGCCGTCGGGCTGTAACCGGTGGGTGACCAAGGGATGACAGATGGTGGACAGGAGGGAAAGGAGCACTTGAAGGGGCCAGAAGGGAATGGGAAGGGCTGTGGACAGGGAACTAGGGAAGTCAGTTGAGTAACTGACCATCCAGGCCAACCAGAACTGCTGCCATCCCTGTCATCAAACCAGTGCCCTGGGATCACTTCAGCTCTTTCCCTGTAACCTGCAAATTTCTCCACTGCCAGAGGTCAGTCAGTCCAGGAGCTGGAGGTCTGTAACCCTGGACAGTTACTGAGAGAAGGATCTTTGGAAGGGGAAACAGTGTTGTTTTCCATATCAGAAACAGTCCCACGCTTCCCAAAGGAGTGGAGGAAGAGCAAAGTTAGTTTTATCAGATTTCCTGTTTGTTTGCCTTCCTCCATCATCTGTCTTCAAATCTTTACAGGAATACCTGGGTGTAAATCGGTGCTGTAGGTCACTAGCCCAGAAAACTGTCTCACTGCTTGACCCATGTGGACTAATCCATATAGGAGGCTGCGCACACCAAACTGGCTCCACTGGTCGGGAACAGCAAAACTACTGTGCCAGATTGTCTGGAAACTCAGTCAGCCAAAGGTAAAGCTGGGGATCTCCTGCTCTTCAGCCAGATTTTCTAGTAGATTCTTCAAAAGCAAATGTGCTTCTTTGTACTGCAGGGGGCTGGTGGACGGAGTCCTGGAGTGGCTGAAATGGGCAGTACATTGCCAGTTCTTCCACCTTGTGCCGCTCCTGAGCCCTGCCGAGTCGTGGGGAAGCCATCTCTCTACAGGACTGAGCACAGTCTCACTGGATTTACTGTTCCAGCCCTTGAACACAACCAGCTTCACACACATCTTATGATTAAGCTTCTTCAGCGAGTGGCAAGATGACAAGTGGAGTGGGCCAAGGCAGTGAGAGACACCACCTCTAGCAGGGTTAGTGGAGAGGAGCAGGTGTGGGATGGCAGGGTGGAGGATAAGTGCAGACAAAGGTGGAAAGGGGGCTGAGCAGAAGTGTGTAGGCCCTGGAACCCTGTTTGATACGTTGTGTGGAGTAACAGGCTGGATTATTTATTACAGCTATTGCTTTTGTGAAACCTATTGCTACCCTAATTTCCCTACCAGCCCAGTAAGCCTGCCAATACTGGGTTGTGCTGGAGCAGACCACAGCCAGAGCTACAGGGCACACCAGGATCTGGTTAGGCTCAGCCTGATTTTCAGTAGTTCTCACTTTTTTGCAGTAACATTCTCCTCCATTATTAAATTCAGGGAGTTCAGATGTAGCACAGTGATTTAATTACAAATACTTTCTATTCCAACATAAAAGCACTTTTGGTCCTCAATACAAATTCAATGCTAAGTTTACTGCAGTGTTTACAGGCAGCTCTACTCAACTCCCACATTTGAATCCTTTCCAAAATTGATTTGCATTTGAGAATTCTGCAGCACCTTGCCTTAACAAAGCTACAGTTGAATTTGGCTGTCACCTCCAGCTGTATGCTCAAACTGTCTTGGTCTTGAGCTGAATCAGTGCCAATGAACAGCTACATTAAGTGATAGATATTTTAGAATTCCTGCATCACATCATCATTTATGTCTTTTCTTACATTAGGTCACTTACAGTGTGCCCTCCATGGTTATTGTGCTCTTCTTTCCATGATCTGGAGCCATAAAGAACAAATATATCAGATTTTCCAAACTCCCTCCTGAAAACACACTGGTGATTGTTTTCAGCTCAGGATGGATTCCTCGACTAATACTTGTGCAGAAAAAAGGAGACAGAATCTTGATGTCGTCACATCAAGGTGAATCTTGAAATAGAGTTTATAAGGATAAAGGGTAGGTGGGAGCAGGAACTGAAACTGGGGAAGAGGATTAGAAAGAAATTGAATGGGGAGCAGGAAATGTGGTATGGATTGTAATGAAAGAAGAAAAGAGCCCAGAGAAAATGAGGAATATCTGAGTGTTTAGACAGCCCCTAGAGGCTGCCTTCCAAAGTCTCTATGTTCCTCTGCTGTGGAGTTACCAGTGAAACCCACTGGCGAAGTGACTCTCTCATCTCACATTTATACCTCTTCCAAGCAGGATTGATAATGAGCATGTTTCTACATCCTTAAAAATAAAATAAACAACAAAACAACTAACAAATCATTTGGCAATATATTATAACCATGATCAGGCTGCAAAGTCACACATTCGCATTGCTAGTAAACACCAAACTTAAGTTTTTTCTTCAGCTTTAGGATGAGTCTTTTTACCTTGTGCGTGGAAGATACTTAACATCAAATTCAAACATGAATTACCCCCATTCCAATGTGTTTCCTGGAATTTGGGTGTTGGTTTGGTTTTGTTGTTGTTTTTTTTATTTGCAACGTGTCAACAAATTAAAGTGTCTAAGTTCAGGACACTAAAACCAAAACAGGGCTTTAAAGGGGTGTTTTTCAGAGTCAAATTACATAAGGTTGTCAGACCACTCACAGGAATGGAACCTACTCAGCTCTTGCTGAGATCCTCTGTTGAATTTTACTGAGGACTGAGCATGAGGATGGTTTTGCTTGGCCAGGACAAGGGGACACAGCATGTTGGCTTCGGCTGGGAATCTTAGCATCTGACATCACTCGCTCTCTGACAGGAGAAATTGGTTAAGATCATTGCGAGAATATCTGTGACTTTCACAAAGACCAGACCAAAAGTACTGACGGTCTGGATCATGGCTTGCATCCACTTTCTGAATAGCTCTGGGATAGACTAATATCAATATCCTGGCTAGTAGAAGGAGGTTTATACATTGAGAGGAAATTCACAGAGGTAAAGGTGGCTGTCTCGTGCTGGTCTGTGACAGCTGCAGCCTAGCGTGGAATGGCACAAACCCTGTATGGGTGGGGCTGCAGGGTACCCCCCAAAATGGGCTCTGTGTTGATCTCTGTCACTCCCTCGGGGAGCTGGAAGGTGAAAGCCCGCAGCAGGTTGGCAAAGAAAATAAAGAGCTCGGTCCTCGCTAGGTGCTCCCCCAAACACACACGGTGCCCTGCAGAGGGAAGAGGGGAAGGATAGTGAGTATCTAGGAATTTTTCAGCTTCATAGTCACTTAGTTCATTCTTGTTGCAAGCAGAGGGTGTTTTTTTTGTTGTCTAAGGACAGGATCATGAAAGCCACAGAATTAAAACTATGTGAATGCCTTCTCAGAAAGATCTGATCCAATGTCATAGCTTAGGAGATACCAAAGGAAAATTTCAATGAAAATCACTAATGTACAAATATAATTTCTTTCTAGACCTGATAGAACATTATTTTCTTGTTACAGGAGATGTTGAGCTCCAGGGTCATACACAAAGAATCTGCCAGCTGCTTGCACATGCTTTCTTAGTGAGTTAACATCAGTGAATCAAAATTACTTGGCATTTGCAGTTGAACAGAGGCTTGGTCACTTCATAGGCAAAGCATGAGGCCGACTATTCCTTTCCCAGGGTTCTTCATTGGCACCGATGGTGTGAGCAGAACAGGTGAATAATACATTCACATTTCCAGATTAGCAGACAAATAAAAGGAAATAAATACCATTTTCATTAAGAAACCACTGCTGGATGGACATCTAAGTGACTGGTCTGTTATATCAACAGAGAAACTAAAACAAAACCATCAATAGGAACCTTACTGCTATGTGTGATTGCTAACTGTGTGTGCATTGCTATCTTATTTCCTTCTTTGGCAACTGGATTTTCAGTTCTGTAAGCAAGAACTTAATCTTTTGTTTATCAGGATGCATTCTGTTTTTCTTTCATCTTGATCCTTTAAAAGGGATGGCAAGTAACTCCAGTACAAACAAGGCACATTGCTTCTCAGGAACGTAACTATGTATAAAGAACACTACAGACAAAACCTGTGTATGACTGCAGCATGCAACCAGCCCAGTTTGAGTGGGATTCCCACCACAGAGTCCTAAGGACAGTTTGGGGTCTGATGGCACAGAAGCCTCTCACTTGGCAGAAACAAGCCAGTACTGTTCTTTAAAAGCAACAAACAGCAGAGATAGAAGATGTTATCTGAAGAAATACCATAATCTCACACTTCTATGTTCTTCATTTTATCTATTGGATCAGTTCAAACTACCAATGCATTTACCTGCTGAGAATGGTAAGAAAGCTTCTCGAGGGATAAAGTTTCCTTCTTTATCCAGAAAATGGCCAGGGTTGAACTGTCGAGGTGTCTTCCATTGCTCAGGGTCATACAGAACAGATCCTATATTTGGTATAACGATGGTGCCCTGCAAAGAAGAAACTGTTGATTCCATTCCAACTACTGGCCTGTCACCCATCAGTTTCTTCCTGACAGAAAAAACTGTTGCTTGTTGCCATTTGGGCAAGTGCCAAGTTGAGCAGAGGTCTCTTGACCAGTGCTTTGGCAAAACACTTTATCCTCCTAGTCCATCCCCAGCCAAGCAGAGCTGGTGTCTGCAGTTGTGATGATGGGTAGGAGCTCAAGGCTTCCCTGGTAGAGGTCTTATCAGCTTTCTGAGCACCTACACATTAAGTAAAGGACTAATTTGTGTAGCCACAAATAGTAACCCTTTCCCAGGCACCACATTCCTGAGTTAAATGGAGAATAGTTTATAGAATGAAAATGGGTGACGAAACTGAAATGAAAGATAAATAAATGCCTCTCTGCTGAAGAAAGAACAGAAGCTGAAAATGTGTCTGTACCCTTTTGACAGGGAATCCTAGCAGTGTCGTGTTCCTCACACACAGCCTGGGCATGCCCACAAAGACAATGTTGCTGAAGCGCTGAATCTCATGGACTACAGCATTTGTGTAGGGCAGTTTTCTCCGGTCCTCATAGCAAATTAACTGGGAAGGACCCAGAACAGCATCCAGCTCCTTCTGCACTTTCTCTGTGGAGAAATATTCACAACTTCAGATGAGAAAATGTATAAAATATTTTAACTGGTCTCTTAGAGCAACAGGAAAATATATTCTTTCAACATAGTACATTAGGTCTATAATTTGTGATTTAATATGTTTTAATGCCTGAGTTTAATATAGGATAATAAAAATGTACAGGAAAAACCCACCAACAGTGTGGTCCAGGAACACACTGGAGGGATGTCAGGGGTCCAGTGGTTTGTGAAGAGCACTGGTGTGCTCAGCAAGGAGAGCTGGGTTTGCTGCCTCACAGGAGGGGCAGTGAACATAGGCTGCCATAAATATGAGATGAGACTGTATGGCAAACAAAGCTATGTTAGCATTCCTCATACCTGAATGGTGTCAGGTGCAGACGGGATTCAGAGCTTTGATCTCTGTACCTGCTGCCATCAGTCACCTGCAAACTCTCCACACAGAGCACCTCGCTGACTTATCACTGCCAAGAGCTAACTTTGGTCTCACTGCAAGTGTCTTCAGCCATTTGACTTGGTCAGGTCACAGAACGGGTCTCTGATTTTTTTCTCTGCTGCCATTCTTTGTGTTTTCAGAGAGTGAGAGCCACACTGCAGCTCATCCTATTCAGCCATCATTAACATTTGTAGTACCCACAGCATTTCACAACAAGAATCCCTCTCACCTTGAATATCTGGATTCACAACCATATAGAGCAGTCCCCAGTACAATGTTGTGCTTGAGGTCTCTGATCCACCAAGGAAAAGATCATTTATGACATGGACCAAATTGTCTTCATCATACTTGGGCTTGACCCCTTCTTTTGACTGCAGATGACGATAAAAAGTTGAAGTTAAAGCATAAAAGTTAGGTCAATTTGTATGCCCTCTGTGTGAGAGTCCTTATTTCCACAGCTGGCATGTGCACAAAGAATAGTCAAAATTACAGTTTTTGATGAGTAGTTTAGTAGTTTCCCAAATAGACATGGTAAGTCTGCCTTGCTATCTTTCATGAGGTAGAATATTCTTTCATTTAAAAAAGACAATTCTATGTCTGATGACTTAATCATGAAAACTTTAAAGCACAGTACAAGTTTTGCAGTTAGATTAGAGTGTGCTTCTATACAAATGCCCTACAGCATGCCACTCTTCAGGCCTTGGTCTCCAATATGCTATCAAATGGTGCTAGAAAATACCAAAGGAAATCCCATCTGAATAAAGGAATCTCAAGAGAACACCTTGAAAGTAATTTCTTTTCTGAGTTCAGGATAAATGTGAACTGAGGGGGAGAGGTATTTTCTACTGAATAATAAGGGAGTAAAATAAAAATATTTTAGAGAAAAAAAATTAGGCAAAACATTTTAAAATAATGCAATAAATACTGCAATAAATCACACCCCTGACACCAGAGGAAGTTGCATCTTTGCCTCTAAAATGCTTATTTTAGCAAATCTTGTCATAGTCAATTCAGATATAAAATGTAAGATGATGCATCAGCTCCTTTCAGAGCCTCTGAGCCAACACTGTGAGGACATGGCAGCCTGATTAGCTGAAAGCTTATGACCACATGTAGAAGCTACATAAACTTCATCTACCCTAGGAAAGAGATGCTTCTTTTACTTCCCAAAAGTACCCCAAAATGACAAAGTTTGAAACAGAAAATCTGATACTTTTAGCAGAGCCTCTCTGGCTCATGAGACACTTCCTACTATGGAAAACAATAGCCTGGGCAGAGAAGAAGATTAATGCTTATTATGGCCCTGTTTGTGAAATTTTTTCCTAGGATATCCAATTAGAATATAGGTGCCAAGCCAACCACGCCTCAAACTGTGGGGAAATTAGAGGTAACACAGGGATAATGATTCCCTGACAAGGGAGGAACCATACAGTTACATGGCACAAGGACAGTCAGTGTTAGAGCACACACTGAATTCCAAGGAAACGTTGTCCTCTGTTCCCGGGCAATTACCTGCGTATGCATATTTAAATCCATTGTACACATGAGGTGCCTTGCTATAGAAGATGAGGTGGTTTCTACCAAACTTATGTAACCTACAGGAATAAACTCTCATATTTACTACAGGATTGAAGTATGCACATGAATATTTATGGAAAGCAGATGATAGCTCACGAGTTCACCCCCTGACATACTGGACCTTATACTCCATAAATGTGTGATCACACAGAACAAACACTTACTTTCTCCATCTCAGCCAGGTAAAAGTCAATGAAATCCTGTGGCTCAGCTGGTATCCCTCTCTCCACATGTCTTCTGACCTCCTTTCTTGCAAAAGAACTCAGGACATCATAGCAAGCCAATGCCTTCTTATGAGGCCCAGGGAGACGGCACATCAGCCAAGGGAGGATTTCGTACATCTGCAGGAGTGACACACAAGAGGTAGTGTGAATTCTCTGTCAGTAACAAAGCTACTTTTAGAAACACCAAAAGGCTGAATTGTCCTGTCCAGAAATGTTGATAGCAGAATAAAGAAATTAGTATTGCTTTGAGCAGGTTTTTGCCATCATGTAGTAAAACTTTACTAGTGATTTGACACAATCCCAGGGGAGACGGCAGTTCTGATGACACTCTGCTCATGCCCCTAAGATTTGCAGAAAAGCTTTACTACCACAACAGCATTTTAGTTTGCCTTATTCTGTAAAATTCAAATGTCAATGGAATTTGCCTGGTCGTCCACATTCCCCATTACATGCAGCTTGACCATCTTTAAGGGTCTAAACCACAAAGTCTAATTCATGGGGAAAACTTCAAGTGCGCTTCAAGACCCTTCAAGTGCAAAGTTGCCCTATATGGTATGTTGTGGGAAGTACCTACCAAAAAATCTTTGACAGAACTTGAATCGTGAGACTGTCAGAGAATGTATGTATTGTTTTTGCAATGTGTGAATTCAGAGCTATTATGAAGTAAGGGGAAAATTCATAATGAATATTTTATTATTTGTAAGGGAAGAAAAAGTAAACAAAATTTTTAGCATACAATTTGCAGAGTAGTAAAAAGCAGAACAGTGAATTCAATGATACCAATTTTTGGAGGAGAGAAGTAAGTAGAGGTGGGAGGAGCAGCACTGCAGAGTTCATATTTATTACAAACTCCAGTCTCAAATTAGATTTAAAGGTTTCTGTTAATAGTCTTAGAAATGCTGAAGGACTTAAAAACCAGGAGTCAACAGAGAGTCAACCCCTAAACTTGCAAAGAAACAAGAGAGTTCTTAAAAATGTCCTCATGCCAAGGAGGCAGTAATAAGGTCCCCAGGACACCACTTCTCTCCCAACTTGCATTTGCCTGTAGCTCTGTGTTTAGTGAAGAGCCATTTTTGTATCTGCTCTTTCATTTTCTACCTATTTCAGAAAAAACCAGCATATCATTTACTCACCTGATGAAAAAAGCTGCCTGCAAATTTGAATAAATTCTCTGTGGCATGGATCATTTCATGGAAGGTTTTGTCCTCATCAGAGAAGTGATATCCAAAAACTAGAGCACAAATCACATTTGAAATAGAATGGAAAAGAGGGAAAGAAGGATCCACAGGTCTTCCTGTAAACACAGTAACAGATATTTACTCTCAGTGTTTTCTTCAAGTGTTCTTATACAGATAGGACAAAGTGTTTTTAGAGATTACATAAAATGTTCTCTTTATACAACTGGGGCATGAATGGGGACAGAAATTTGGCACTAATATGAATTAATGAAAATAAAACATAGCCTTAGAGCAAAGGACACTGTTAAACTGTTTCCTCTAAAACAATCTCAAACCCCTTTCTGTGAAATAATGTTGTACAACTAAGATCTGTTCCAGGATCTCATATCAAATCTGCTGTCCTCAGTTGTCTGGAGGAAGACAAGTCACCGAGTGAGAAGGAAGAAATGTCACTCGAGATAACTGCAGGAATTCAGTGACAGACATTCAAAAATGTAAAATAATTACTTAGGAGGAAAGACTGAATGAACTTGGGAAGGTTTAAGAAGAATAGTTGGACAGGAACCTGCAAAGTATACATAATGAAACTATTACAGCCTCAACTGTGAGCAGTAGATTATCATATCTCTGTCTGATAATTTTTTTAAAGTTATGAGACAGATATCCATAGAAAGTAATTTGGGTAGAAATGATCCCGGCTTGGACTCTAGGATTAACCTGATAATCCACTGAAGTTCCCTCCCATCTCCTACTTTTTTTGATTCTCTTGCCAGTAGTTACTAAGCCAGACAGACTAAAATATCAATGGCACCCAATGTCATTGAAATTACCAAGCTCTGCAATACTCTTCAGTTACCTGTTGCAGGCAGCCCGAGGATGGCTTGGCTGTGCAATTCAGTGGCATCCTGTCGTTGTACAATCATGTTATAGACAAACAGTCAGCCCATGGAGGTGGAATCTCAGAAGTTCACAACTTCACTAGGTTTATGAATAGCTATTTTAGAAAGAAATTCCCCTTTCTGATTCTATGCTCTACTGCTCTTAGGCTTTAGTAAGTTTGGATACACCACTGTGGATCTAACCTGGACCGTAGAAGGGGTAGGTAAGTTTGCATACTGAAGATCCAGACTGAAAAGTGCTTGGTTTCTTAGCAGACAGTTACCTTTTAGGTTCATAAAAAACTCCACCAGGTGAGAGGCCTCCTCTTGCACTCGATGCTCCAGGCCTTTTTTTCCCATTCCCAAACTGCGTAGAGTCATTATTCCAAAGCGTCTCTGCTGCTTCCAGGAGCGACCAGTTGCCAATATAATACCTGAGGGTATTCCCTGGCATATTAATATTTGTCACAGACATGAATGATTCATTTAAATACATATTATAAAATGATTGGAATAAAGCAGGGAATATACTGTGATACAAATATCTTTAGGTGAAATTATTGGTAACCAGAAATCGTAGCCAAGCATACCCAAACTATAACTAGGCCACATTGTCTTAATATTGATTGTAGTTCACAACTGAAAAGAGTAGACTAAGGATTTTCTGACTGCTCCATTTCTTGATGTCTTGAAAAAAAAAAGAATACCTTAAGATGCCTTTTTAGGAAATCTGCCTTAGCCATAGTCAAGTGATCGTGCTCAGGACAGGAGTAACTGGATGAATTTCCACAGAGTGGAGTACAGGGCAGGGTACATTTATGAAGGTGTAGATCAATTAATGTGATGGTTGTAGGTTGAGGTGATGAAGGTGAAGGAAAAGTGACATTTGGGCTCTGTTTCTCCTGTGGAAGAGAGAACACTCCACTAATTGTTAAATTGCACTTGTGGTCCCCTGAAGAGCTGTGATGGTGAGGCTTTACCTACCTTTAAACAACCTGTGTCTGCTTTAGTATAGCAAATGCAGGGAAGGGAAGGGAAAAAACTGCAAACTGATGGAATACACCAAGAAGAACTGAGTTTTCCTGTGTCAGAGGCACTCTCATAGTCAAAGGATATTCAAAAAATGTTTAGGAGTGTCTGCAAATACAGCAGTGCAAATTCTGAAAGAGGGTTTTATAGGTCTCTTGCTCATGATGGAAAATATTTGGCAACTATAATGTATCCAGTTACCAAACAAGCGTTGCATTCACATGATGTACAGCAAAATCGTATGCAGAACAATGGATTAGTCTGTGATGAGGGCAAGATTGCTGAGTTCTGAGCTGGATCACATACATACATCTTGAATACCGCAAAAAGGTCGCTTAGAAACAACCTGGAGTGTTTCCCAGGATTGGGAAAACTCGGTACAAAAAGCATCACACCAAATAGTAAGTTATTCTCAAGAAGTAATGGAGGACTTGGACTGTATCTGATGGAAGATCATTTTGAACAGGAGGGCAGAATAATTTGCCAAGTCAACGTTCCTGTGCACTATTTGTGGCAGGAAAATCTCACCTTTTCCTTTGGCCATTGCCCTGAAGAAAGGCGACACCATCCGCCCAGAAACATCATCAGGGTGCGTGGTCATGCCATCCTTCACTGCTTGAAATCCATTCAGGATGATCACTGGGGTCCACCCAAACCACAAAGTATATATGTTACCATGAGTTTTTGCCAGCTGTAAGTGGAAAAGGTGCCAGGAAAGAACAGATGAAGTCCCATATATACATCTCAAACAGACACTGCACCAGTTATTCACCAATGGACAGTTTTGTGCTGAAAATGTCATCCCCGTGCATATAATTGTAGATAGAAGCAGAAAGAGACTGTTGTTTTGCTGAGAACAATGCTTTCAGCAGCCCATTTTATTTACTCTGGGGAAAGCGATTTTCTTTTTAAAGCATAGCCTGCAGCAACACTGCAGCAAGAGAAAAAAAACTTTTGCTTTATGTTGCATCACATCCAACCCCAACATTTGAACCTTGTTGATCTGAACAGCCCCACTCTGCATGGCTCTGGGGCTCTGTGCCTCCAGTGGTCCCTTCCTTTGCAAAAGGAAACCAGCTGATTAAGCCTGCACTATCTGTGTGCTCCAGGAGAGGACATGGAGCCAGAAACTAGTCAACAGCTATGAAGTGCCAGCAGGCTGCAGCCGAGTCCAGGGTTTCATCATAGCCCTGAGGAGAGCACTCACCATTGGACACAGCAGAGGTATCCAAGCACAGATGGGTGTATGACAGAGGAAATCCAATCATTCATGGAAAAACCTTTGTACGAGTATGGGATTCTGCTCCAGCACACCCACAATGATACAAAAGAGATTGTTCACAGTGTCTAAGGTGCCACTAGAATTACATCCAGCTGATCACACCAGTCACTTGCTTCTCCTAATAATTCTTTAGATTCCAGCTTTCCTCTCCCTCTTAGAGCACCACTACCTGTCTAAGTCTGCTCTGCACTCAATGATCCGTGTGTGCTGTCCTAGGCATACACCTGAATTAGAGGTCTTCTGTAAACCATTAGAAGAATTACTGCAGCTGTCACTAAAAACAAGTGGCAAACAGCTTTCAGGAGGTGTAGGAAGGTGGGGAGTGAATGTCCTTCCTGTACTATAAGCATACATCACATATTGCCCCTTTGTGATCAAATTAGGCAATGCCAGTCAGAATTTTTAAAAATATCACATGGGGACTTATCAGCAGTGCAGAAACATATTTTAGAGAATTGGTATTTCCCAATTTTAATAACAAGCCAGAAACCCTGTCCCCAAGTTTACTTGATTCTTAAGAACATTAGGATTCTCATGAAGATGACATATTCTACATAAGAAGGTGACCCAAATATAGGAATCAAGTTGATCTTTCTATGTCCATACCTTGTCTGTAACTTTCTAAGACTTAAAAGCTTCAGTTTGATTAATAACATATCAGGCTTTTTAAATCTGTGACTAAAAATGACCAATTAATAGCATCTTAAAAGAAATACCTCCATCAGAAGATCCCGGTGAAACTGAAAGTTCAGATGCACCAAGTTTCCAAGCAATGGGAGAGGAGTGGGTCCAGGAGGGAATTGCTTGCAAGCCTTCCGCAGTTTGAAAACCTGAACAATTAACAAAAAAATTATCAGGACTACAAAAGCTTGAGTTATTGTCGGCATTTCTGAGCTGATTTATCAGCTTGTCTATCAAAAAGAAGGCACTGGATCTTGGAAAAGGTGATCTTCCTTGTTGTTCCACCAGTTCTGCAGACTGAGTTCTATAAAGTCTCAATTCCCTTCCCTCCCTCTGTCCCTCCCTCTTCGTCACTGCCTGCCTTTTTCTTGCACCGTATATATTTGCCACACTGAGATATATCAAACTGATCCCTAACCAAAAGCACACCTATCTGCTTATAGCAAGCCTTAGAATGGAAATGTGAATAACTTGTACCCAAAGTATTTGTCCAGAAGCTTGTGCTAGGGAACTTCTGGAGCCTATTGGGAGATCGGGATTGGAGTGACACCAGGTGATAGCCCTCGTTGACCAGTGGATATGAGACAAGTGAAACTCGGTTTCATCTGCTTCAGGAACTTTAAAAATATATATAGTGGTTCATCTCAGAATCACTGAATTCAGATTATGAGTGTAACACATTGATTAGATTATACAGTTACATAGAATACAGTTACAATAGTTCATAGTACATACTTAAAATAGGTTAGATTGGATACATACATATACTTACAATAGGTTAGATTTTCCAGGTGCTTTAATCACAAACGTTATTTAAATGTGATTGTAAACTCAGATTTGCCTGCCAGCACACACAGTCCACACAGGCAAAGACAAGAGTACTTGAAGACTAAGGATGCAGTTAGAAGACAAAATTACTACGAGTGATTTCTGAAAAATTGGCCTTGATTGTCCAATCAAACTTTTTTTTCCAGTAAATGGAAAAAATGTTTCATCAAGTGAGCACTCATGATAAGGAGGTAGTACTTAAAAACTCGTATTACAATTAAATAATTTAAAAAATCAAAATGTTGAATTTTTTTATATTTAAAGATTAATTAAAAATAAAATTCGTTTTTCGGTTTGTTTTTTTTTTTTTGGTAATATGTAACCAAATTGAAAGCTTCACGTGCCCTGGTTAGTTTTCTACCTTTTGGATCAATTTCAGAATCCAGGATATTATTACCAGTTATCAGTAAGTTTACAGGACACATAAAAAAAATCTGTCCTCTGATAATGAAGGGATTCACACTGAGTTTGAAGCACAGACGGGGGAAAGCACTGTGTGCCAATTACCAGAGGATTTGATCTTGCATTGCAAAGAGAAAGTGTTGTCGCTAAAATTGAAGTACAAGTCTGAACAAGACATTGCTGTGCCCTCCAACGCAGACAGAAATGTACTATTTTGCAAACCTGGCAACATGAAGAAAGTCATGTGAATCAGTGATAGCAATTTATCTCTTTCATTTGGCCAAACTTTGAAGCTATTGTGGGTTCATACTTGCCTGCATGATACAGTGAGGACAGCATGGGCAAGTAGTCTTTTATGACCTTATCTGTGCCTGTTGTGGGCAGCATGGTGGGATGTAGGCTGAGGTGGGCTCCGTGGCTTTGCTGAAACCAGTGCAAGTCAGGTACCATTGCCCATTATGAGGCTGAAATAAGCAAAACATAAAATCAGAAAAAATTGTTTCTTCAAACCAAAATATCAAGTTTAAAATTTGGAAAGAAAGGAAGAATGTTAGTTTTGTGCGGACAACTGAAGTCAGAAGAAATGCTGAATTACATAAGTTTCATTAATAGACTAAATACAATCATTTTCGTCTCTTCTCTGTTTGGTCCGTATTACATTGTTTAATTTTAGATGTTTCATGTTGGTGTAATATTTTGACGTCAGTAAATGACCTCTTTCAGAACATGGGTCAGGTTTAACTGGAATCAAAGCACCAGTGTCAGAAGCAGAATGAAGCCAAATGAGCCAGCCAGGAATTTATCCTGCCAGATGTTACTGTTACCTTTCCTTTTGCAGTGTCTTCAGGATGCTCCAACGGTCTGAAATCCAGATGCACGAATAGTTACTTACACCAGTGTCACCTGATGTCACTGGATAAGCTGTACTGAAAACAAAACCAGGCTGAGGGATCTTGTGTTGGTCTGGACCTCTGCCTGTCTGATGCCTCCTCTTCTGGACAGACTATCAGCAATATTTGCTGGGTTTGTATTTTTGGCAGAAAATTCAGTTTTCCTAAAAGATAGTAACCCAAGTAAAGAGAATTCCAAAGAAGTGGACTCAGAGGCAAACCCAGCAAGTTTTAATGAAAATTATCAGGAAGCCAAAGTTTCAATAAGATTTTTAGTGAACATAAAAGCACACTGTGAAGTAAGTCTCAGCAAGATTAGTGCAACGCTTGCAAAAGTAAAGCTGTGCAGGTAATGCGACAATCAAACAAGCATGGTCCTGAAATCCTTGAGCAAGCAAATGCTTAATTTCAGCTCTGGGACATTGATACTTAAATATGAAGTATAAACTGTAATGTATTTGGCAGGAGGGAATGTCAGGAATTAGTATCTCCAAAGCACAGGAACTGTTCATACATTGTGCACACAGTAGCAGCCAATTGCCTTGAGTGAGGTTTCAAATAAATAATATTTAGAAATGGAAATTGCACAATATATTGCTACGCTTTCTAACTCCTCACTCACAATTACCTTCAGAAACTTGCAAAATTCGCAAGCTGTAATAAGACTAGAAACTGGGAGCATTAAGGCTGGACTTGAGGTGGCACAAGGAGTGAGAAGAAAAAATGTTAAGGGACCTTAATATCCAAAATAAAAATGGAAAAAGCAACATAACTGAGACTGGCATCCCTGATCCTAATTGCTGCAAGAATTTTCTTGCAGAGAGATTGCCTGAAGAAGAGTAACTTGATGTTCTCTGCGTGAATTACTGGGAACTGCATGATACTTCTATGTGAGGAATAGTTGGATGAATTTTTCAAAATGTAGGAAAATGCAAAGGACCTGAGATCATCTCCATAATTTCTGCATAACAACTTTGAGGATGCACACAAAATCCCTCAAAGGGTTAAGAAAATCAACAGGAAAAGACAAGTAAAAATATGTTAGAGGATATATTCTAAAGCCTAACAGAAAAAAACAGGTTTCTGTTTTCACAAAAGAGGCTGAAATCAATATTCTGACATTAGAATTCCTCTTCGTAGGCCAGCAGCACCGTGCTATTGCTGCTAGTGAGTAAGTGAGGATGTACAGGCTGTGGGGTAAAAATAGAAGTTCAAAGTCCATAAATACCATCTTTTCAGAAACATCTAAGAGAAGCACCAGCAAAAATATGGCAAAAAACTGTAAAATGCAATGCTGATGTCATGAGCTGGAGCAGTCTATCATCTCAATCTCTTATCAGTAGTTTCTTCACAGCATTACTAATGACTGCCAGGGAAAAACACAATGACAAGGCAGTGCTGGCAGAGCACTTTCAAGTTAAGCTAAATAAACAAGCTCAATAAGACACTCCCATAAAGTCTGACAGAAATTAAGCACCCGAAAATGTATGTCATAACAGTTTGTCACAAAAAATACACTGAAGTTAAAATCCAGGAGAGTTGCAATTAAAGAGTGAATGTCTGAGAAAACACTGAAAACTTGTACTGGCCACAGGTAAAAATTATTTTTATTGACATAGGAATAGGGAAAAGCCAATAGAACAAGGAAAAATAGATATTTAGACACCAAAACAAAAATGCTTCAAAGTTTACATTAATTAGCAAAACTCGCATATTAAAAAGCTCTAGGGTGTTGCTGTACATGGGATAAAGGAAATGGTAGAGACAAAATTAGAGCAACACCATTAGCTGATTGCTCATGTTTTTTCATCCCAAGAATGCCCAAAGAAAGCATTATGTGCTGAAATGTATTCATTATACACTCTTAAAATATCAGAATAGAGAAAACAATCTCTATCACAAAACAAATGAAAGTTACTTGGTTGGTTTTTTTTGTAATTTGAAAATATTGCAAACCTGGTTGATAAAGCAATAGCATTGAAATTACATTACTGATAATGGTTTTTTGATTACTTTAAACCATTAATTTAAGAAAATCTAAAAATATTGTTTACAAAGCTTGCAAATTTCATGACTGAGAGAACAGTGAAACTCAGGAAGGCAGATCATTGACAGAGGTGGCAACCATTGCATCAGCTGCAGTGCAGTGAGTTGTAAAGCCACACACCATGAAGTAGTTTGTCCCAAGGAAAGTCGGAAGACAGAGAGTTAGATACAATCTCCTGGAGCTCTGCACCGAGAAGTGCAGAAGTCTTGGCATCAAACCTGCCTCATCTACAAACTGGTCAAGGCTTCATGAGGGCCATAGTCAATCTTGTTGAGTGAAGGAGTAAAAGAGGATTTGGAGGATGTGTACCTTGGTGTGCCTGACCAAGAGATCATAAGCATGTCCAGACACACAGGGACAGACAAACTCTGAGACAGAACCATGGGCATCTTCCAGGTTAAAGATATTGACCTCAAAATAGCCCCAAATACAGAGCATGGCTCTGAGGATGGTGTTACCTTCCACTTGAGTCCGAGCAGTCTGAAATGACCTGGTCAGTCTGACTTTGTGTTCAGAATAGACATAGTGAGGAGACAGTCATTCTCAACTGAAAGCACCAGCTCCAGGGACTGATTCAACATAGTTACATCTTTTCTGCACAAAAAATGAGAAGATATTTGAAATAGATCTTGGTTTTCTTAGGATAGCTAGATCCAGCTTACCCAGCAGGGAACACTGCAGATGAGGTTTTCACTCTTGCCATGTTCTTCGCTGGGTTGGCTGCAGATTGTAAGCTTGGCCATTATGTGCCCAGGAGAACATCGACAGGAACATTGCCCTAAGACCCAAACAACAAAGCATTGAGAAACCCACAATTCCAGAAAGGTCATACGCAAGAGAAAGCTCAGAGGGAATAAGCACATGGAAAATAAACACAGTTTTAAAGGGATGCGGGTGTATGTACCAGTGGTTGCAAAATGAGAAGCAGCTTTTAAAATAGGAGAAGCCTTGGGGACAAAGAAAGGCTGAGAAGGTTGCAGTAATGTACAACAGTGAACAAACAAGGTAATAGATAAAGACTGAAAGACCAATATGACCCCCACCCTTTCTTTGTCTTCAAACAATTCATAGGATCAAAATTATCATAACCGGGAGCTTAAACAATGTGTATTCTGTGAAACTAGTGTTTAAAAACATCAAGATACAAGCACTGACCTAGAACTCTAACATACTTT